GAGGAACTGCTGCAGAGACAAGGTCTGAGCAGACAAAGTGTTTGCACATATTTTTGGGTTAGGCGAGTCCTGTATTTCTGTTAATGTTTTTGGATGCCTATGAAATGTTACTGGAGTCAGTAATAAGCACCATCTTCTAACAGCAGAATACTGAACACTGATAATGAAAAGCAAAGTAAAACAACCTAAATAGAAGTTTACTACGTGTCTTCCTAGTTTCAAATAAACAGGTTTTGTTCTTTTTACTCCTCTTATCTGATCCCCTTACGTTTCTTTAACGATTAGTGAGTAGGCTGACCTCTCTGTGCTTACAGTGTGTAAGCCCTTTTTATACCCCTGTGCAGTGTTTCACGTCGGCTGGCTTTAGGTCTTTCAATGCACATAAGTCAACGTGCCTGGGCACATGGAGCCTTAGGAAAGAAGTTTACAGTAACTTAGGTAGGGCACATCAGGGCCTTATTTGCAATGAACAAGAAACATTAATGTAGGACAGAATATAAATTTGTTTTCAAAAGCAAAGGGATCTCTACGGGCAGCTGACATACTTCAAGAAGACAAGTAGGTTACTGATATCTGTGGCAGTATTTTGGACTAATATTCAAAGAGAAGGAAATCAGAGCAATTGAGATTCAGGGTGAAAACTTTAATAGTGGGACAAATGTGGCAAGGTGTCAGGTACCATCATCAGTGTAATAACTGTCGTAATTTAGCTTCTGTCAGGATGGTGCTGGAACAGCAACTACAACATTCTTACAAACCAGGTTCCCAGAGAATAAAATAATCCCCAACACTTCCTCCTACAGCCCTGAGAGCCTACGGGACATGCCAGAGGTGCCCAAAACAGAGGTGATCTTTTACAGGCAATAAAGTTTTGATGTGGCCCGTGGGCCACACTCTGGGGACCCTTTCTTTACAGCGTGCCTCATAAAAGAACATTCCTTTCCTTTGTCTGTGTTGAGAGAGGCTTCAGACCATGTCTGATGTCTTCCTTTGAAGTCAGATAAAGACATCTGCTAAATACTTACATCAACTAAAAATATACGTAAATTGTCATACTATTATGATTAGGCCAAAAATAAATGGAACAAAGTAATAATCACAGAAACCTTTAAGATTTTAGTCAAATAAAGAGGTCTCCTAGATACTTCAGAGAGGATTTCCTTATCCTTTCCAGCACCCGATTCTGAATCCAAAACCATGAGTTATCTTAACTTTAAAATGTCTTCAATGATGACAGAAGCCAGGGTAGACACGAGGATCTGCAGAGTAGCTATAGAAATCCTAATGAAAGCACCACTCAACATACAGCGGTAGGCAACCTAACAGGCACAGCTTTGTACCATCACTAAAATGCCAGCACACATTAGAAGATAACCCATCTTCTACAAATAATTAGCTTCTATGGGTCAAAGATACTCCAGTTTATAACTACTCACTATCTGACACAATAATACTATTTCTCTTTTCCTATTCACTCAAGCAGGAAAAAAAAAAAAATGAAGTAGCATGCACATCCTTTTTTATCAACTACCCTAATATCTACATATATGCATTGTGCACCATATTTCAAGTAATCATTTTGTGCAGTAACATACAACACATATCACAACCAGCTACAAACCTTGTATCTGTTCATTAAATATGCAATTACTTACAGGAATGTTGATGAAAACAGTATCAAACTCTGATGCTGACAGAAACCTTTTCAACGGCACCATGAAAAACTGCAAGGAAAAGAAACGTATATATACATTGACTATGTCATTATATTTTCTAGACCGTTATAAAAATACATAAGTAACAATTCTATAAGTAGTATCTTACTTTCTCTATCGATTCCAGAGTTTCAGTGTATTTCTCTTCAGTTTGCTTTATTTCAGCAAGACAACAGCTTCTTATGTCATTTTCAGTATATTTCTGCAATTACAATGGAGTCAAGTTTAAGTCATTAGCAGGCACCTAATGGATAACAAATGTATTTATTTGTTTAGAATTAAGCAATTAGGATAACTGCTTCCTGAAATTTTCTGAGTACTGCAGCCTCCAAAGATGACAGCAATAACCAAGAATATTTTAGTGTTCAATTAGATGATCATTTTAAGAGCTGTACTAAAATTCAGCATCAAAAGAATATTATGAAAAGTTAATGTTTAGACATAAAACGCTGAACTCTCTGCATGTACTTTGGAAGCTGAAATACAAGGTCATATTTAATTTACATCCAGACTGAGAAATCTTATTTAAAATACTGAGCCGTTAATAATGCCATTAAACTTAATGGGACTAAATCATGTAAGTAACTTTGCATTGCCATAAATATTGGAGTCAGTCTAATCCCTGCACTTATTTACAGTTTTTCCCTTTTAGTTCTTAAGGGGAGCTTTCTCTTCAGACACAATATGAGTACGTCCTCGAATCGGGAAGAGCAGTGACCTCTAAGTTCAGCTCTTGCATACGTATGTGTGTGTCTTCAAGGAGACCCTGGGATTTTTCCATGCGAACCACCAGACTCATAGGAAATTGAAGTAATTATCAGCACAGGACTCTATAAAACTAGTTTACAAGCACTCTTACTGAAGATCAGATTTACAGCGTTACGGCTTCAATAACTTGCAAATCTGATTTCAAATAAAAGAGTAAATACCTGGAAGAAGGAAGAAGCATTCATGTCAAGCAAGACTTAAAACACCTGGAGACATATAGGTCAGCTTGGAGACCTGACACAGTAACTGGATAGGGTCTTACAATTAAAAGCAATAACTGATCCAAAACGTTTTCTCCAAAAACAACAACAAGCAATGGCTTAATAAGCAATAGTAGTGTCACATCCTTTCTGAAGCCTATTTATCAGTTTGCAACATCCTTCCAAGGCATCCTTCAGCATATCCCTGACTGTATCTTACCTT